GATTTCTGTAGGAGGGTTCAATTTCATTCACTCCAGTTTAATATCCCTTAATAGTTAAAAAGGCTTTTCTTGCTTATGGTCATCTGTAGGACAAAGATGGCATGGGAAAAAAAACCTCAGCATTTAGAGCACCTGAAAATAAATATTGTGATTGATAAGGATGAACTAAGTAGCTTTCTTTGTTGGAACAAGTATGAAATCTTGAGTTTTAATTTATTCCAAGGTGATGTCTAGCAAACACACAAATCAAGAAGTCACTTGGAGAGTAGCTGGTTTACCCAAACATTTTCTTTTAAATTAACATAAAATTCACCTTTCAATGACTTCAAAATTTTTTAATTTCCTGCCTGATTTCAATGATGAGCTGCATTTAGTGCGTTTCAATCTATTCCCCAGCAGGCATCCCAGCCTGATGAGCACCCGTATTAGCAAACTGTTGCTTCCCACTGGGACCTAATGTCATTCACCGACAGAGCTGTGAAGCTGCTTGAGCTTTCTACACACAGCTTGGAAAATGGTCGATTTCCAGGTGAACAGAAATACTTACTTAGGGCATATTTCTCTAAGGAGGCATTGTAACTAACCAACAGTGTTTTCTTTCCATCATGATCACTAGTCTGTTTTCCCAGGTCACTGATAAGGGCCATTGGAGAGATCCTTACTTACTTTTCTGAGAATTTGTCCTCATAAGATACTATTCCTTCTTGAGCATTCCCTAATTTGAAGATCCTTCTTTTGGAGTTCCACCATCTTTGGGATCCATTTACTCAGCTCCATTCTATTCAACCTCATCATATTATCCCCAGGCCTTCTTCTTAAAGGCCTTTGTCATCCTTTGTTTATCGATTCCCAGGCATTCTAAGAACAAGGTCTCATTTGGGGCAAGACTTCCAAATGCCCTGGGGTGGGTAAAAATAATAGGCACACCTCTAAAGTACTTTCTGGGCTAGAAAGCAATTTAATCCCAACATGTGTAAGAGATATCTGCATTTTACCAATTAGGAGAGTGAGACCTGTAGAGTTCCTAGCTATCTGAGCCAGGACATGACCCCAGATTCTTGAAGTCAAGAACAGCGGTCTGTCTACTGCATATGTTGCCAATTTTAACAGAAATTCATGAACTTCATTTCAAATTACTTCATCAGGTGGACCTTGTGGGACAGTATAATGCAAGAATACTGAATTATGAATGGGGAAGCCCAGAGGTGAGCTTTGGTTATGCTCGCTCAAGTGGATGACAACTTTTCTGAGCCTCAGTTTCCTCATCAATGAAAAAGGAATACTACCAAATACCAGTCCCTCTCTACATCACAGAAACTTTGTGAATCTGAATTGAATGTATCTCTATAAAAAGCATGAAATTCCTGTATATAATTTGCAGGTCTATATGTTTAAAAGTACATATTTGCATTTTTTCATTACAATTTGTATAGTAATTATTCAGAGTAATTATTGTTGCCCATTGATATATAAATTTGTTTTTAGGAGATAGAGAGTCCAGTGGGACTAACCATGACACCACAGAGACCATTGCACCTTTGAAATGCTAATAATTTGTAATAGGTTTCAAAGATGTTGTTGTTTTCTAATTCTGTCACAGAAAAAATAAATCCATATTGCTAACTTTAGTTGATGTAAAATGTTAATGACCTCTGCTTATAATAAAGATGATATAAAATTTTAAAATAATAAAATGAATGTATCTATGGCCTGAGAAATTTTTTCTGATAATAATTAGTGAGTAGAAAAGAACTTTGAAAACATTTGAGGAGTAACTTAATTAGATAACCACTTAATAAGAGTCTCTCTACCACGTAAGAAACTGTGATAGACAATCAGTTAATCAATAAGTCAATAATAAATAAATATTTATTGTGTGTGTCGAGCACTATGCTAAGCACTTAGGATACAAAAACAAAAATGAAGCAGTCCCTGCCCACAAGGAGCTGATATTCTACTAAATGTACTAGATAAATGTAAAGTATTAAATGTAATAGAAGTAATCGGTCCCTCCCCATCTGTGCTGGCTATAAATACCCTAGTGGAATATGCATGGAGCTGAGCTGGTCTCCCTAGGGTCACTTCCAGTGGGCCGTGTGTGCTCTTGCTCATTGTCAAAAGATTTGGTGCTTTGGGATGATACAGTAATCCTTTGGTCTCTGTGGTGAAAACAGGAGGAGGGAGACACATTAAAAGAAGACTGGCCTTTGATCCAGGAAGAGCCACCTACTCAGTAGTCTAGAAAGGGAGAAACAATTTCTGCTATCACTCTCTCTTCATCCTTTCTTCTGAAAGAATGGGGTTGAAATCTTGGGATCTCCCTTGAGATGGGAGGAGAGGGGCTCCTTTCTCCCTCATCAGCTAAAGTAGCTGCTCAAACTGCAGCAGATGCATTGTGGCTTAGGTAAGCCTGAACCCGGGCCCCTGACTACTTCCTTTTCTCTATATGTCTTTTCCTGAGTATAGGTGATAAAAGTGATCAGGAGATGCACATTTCCAATCTTGGAGGCAACTTTGTGAGTTTGGAATAATATTGCAAGCTACTGGATTTCTCACTTGGAGCTTTCAGCAAGAAGAGTTTTCTACAAGTATATCCTGCTTGGAGAAGATGACCGATGAAGGAGGACGAGCCTAAGGCCTTGATTTGGCTTCTCAGGACCTTGAGGTAATGGTTTCAATATTGCAGAGTCAAGGTATAAATAAAATGGCTGTTCCATATTTTAGTGTTTTGAGTATCAAGATCCTATAAGAGTATAACAGTAGTCATAAGTTACAGCATCATGTGCTTATGAATCATTCTTTTTTTAGACATTTCTTTTGTAGTGGAAGAAATAAATAGCTGTAATATACCTGTTCTACCTTGTACATTGAATACTTTTCTGTGTCCTTTTGGAAAGACCCTAGATATGAGCAATACATGGGGTCCTATATTTAAGCCATAACTAAGCCCCCAGGGCTCTGCAGTATAAAAAGCCAGTACCAGTATCTTTAGATGACAACTTCCCTCAGGACTGAACCCACTCAGTGTAGCCCCTTCAGTGGCAGCTGATATCTCTACTGTCTAGGCCCAGTGTCAATTCTATTGTGACAAATACAATAATTTCACTGAAGTCCTACTCCACTGTTTCATTATGTTGGGAAGGTGACCTTGCCCTGAAAGGTTCTCCTGATCTGAAAAGGCTTTCAGCATGGGTTCAGGGTTTGCTGATCTAGAACCAGACTATGCTAAATAAGGAGAGGCTCATCACTTGAGGGTTGGCCACCAGGAAATGAAGGGTTTTTTAGGCATGGTAACTCAGAAAAATCATTTACTATGGTTGGTATGGGGAGAATGTAGCTGCCATCTGTATTTGTGGATACAGGAGCCATACTAAGAAAATCATCAATCCTTTAAATATTATGATAATGCAGTGGGTACCATCGCAACGTCTAAGAGAATGATCTTGGGATAGAAGCTGTTGGTCAGCTCATGAATAGACATATGCTCAGTTGAATATAGCTGGGAAATAACCACTTCCTTCTCTCTGGTATAGAGGATTCTTGGTTATCTTCTTGGAGAAAGGAGACTACTTGTTTCCCAAATAACTATTATCTGTATTAAGGTTTGCAAAATATTTTAATATATTATCTCATTTCCTCTTCACAACAACACTACAAGGTAGGTTCTATTACGAGCCCCATTTTCCAGATGAGGAAACTGAAGCAAACAGAGGTTAAGTGATTTGACTAATATCACACAGCTAGTAAGCATCCGAGGCCACATTTGAACTCAGGTTTTTTTTGATGCTAAGTCCAGTACACTATGCCACCTAGGTATAACCGGTTTCCTCACCCCTCTTCCCACCTTTCTCTCACACAATTTCCTGAAAATATGCAACCTAGTCCTGTCTTCATAGAAACCATACTCTTCATTATTCACAGTATGCATTGTGGCATTTTTACCTCTTATTTTTTATCTTAATTTTTTACCCCTTAATTTTACTTCACCCCTTAATGCTTTACCTTTCCTGCAAGACGATGCTAGTTTCTGTGTATAGCCTGCTTTCCAATTAACCTAGTGCTCCCTGAAAATTCCCTGATCCTCCCTCTGAAACCCAGGCCAGCTCTCTCCCATCGTAGTATTCCATTTTCCTAACTCTCTGAGAAACCCAAAAAACACTTTTTATTGTTTATTCAAGTTGACAGATTCATCTAATTATAGATGACACATCCCCAGATTTGGGGTCACATACCATCTCTAAAGTGATATTTTGTCAGATGTGTTTTCCTGGCTGTCTTTGGGGTTTGAGGTAAAATAAAGGAGAGCCAAAGTTGTGTTGAGTCATAATGAGTTTAGCTTTCATGACGTCACTTATGTTTGATGCAATACAATTATTCATCCTTGAAGCCTCGAGGGTGTTGTCTGGTCTACTTGGAGCTATGCATATCTCTTTTTTATTACCAGTACTAATAGAGTCTTTTGGATTCCCTCCATGCACAGCACTTCATTATTCACAGTATGCATATTTAAATGATTTTTAAATTCTCATCTTTTAAACAGGAATAGAGACATGTTCAATCTTTAGAAAACCCCATATGTGACCATCTTAATTTATAAAAAAATATACTGAAAGAAGTGACCCTTTATACAATGAATGAATTATTGATTTTAATCAGTCAATCAAAAGCACTTATTAATTGCCTACCGTGTACCAGGCACTGTGGTAGGCATTGGAGAATCAAAAAACAGAATGAAATGTCTTGGGTCATGAGGATATTTGAGGGAGATGCATTTTTAAAAAGGACTCATTGAAAGATTCATTTAAATAGTGATGTCCCCTAGATGATTCGAAATATGATTCTCATAATCACAGAATTCAAGAGTGGGAAGAAACTTCAGCAGCTGTCTCATTCAATCTAATAGCTGCATGGGCCTGGAGCAGGGTATTGTCAGCGTCAGAGGAGAAATGGCGGGCGTATACGAGGGATCTTACAGAGGTAAAATTAGCAGGACCTGGCATCTTATTGGATATGGTGAGTGAGAGAGAGGAAGGAGTCAAGAAGGAGATCTAGCTAGTAGTAATAGGCTATTAATCATTATATTAGTCTGAGAATCAAGGCTGCCCTAAAATCTAGGCTGCCCAGAGGCAGCATGGTGCTCTGCTACTGCCTGGGGAGTAAGAAGGCTGACATTCAAATCCCACTTCTGACATTACGTACCTGTCCAACCTGAGACATCCCTCAGCCTCCCTGGGCCTCAGGATCCTTGTCTGCTAAATGAAGGAGCTGAAGATGGCCTCTGAGATCCTCTCAAGCTCTCAATTTGTGAGCCAATGAAACCTCTATAAAAGGACAAAAATTATATAGGTAGATACTGAAAAGAGTGTTTCAAAATCATCATATAAAATATAGCAAACATAAAAAAGCTTTTAAAAAATTCAAATAAAGAATTTTCTTCATTTTTTTTTTTTACCCTCATTGCTCTTTGCATATAACTTCTGTCCTCATTAGGGCAGCTAGGTGGCACAGTGGATAGAACACTGAGCCTGGAGTCAAAAAGACCTGAGTTCAAATGTGACCTCAGACATTTACTAGCTGTATGATCCTGGGCAAGTCACTTAACCCTGTTTACCCTGGTTCTTTATCTGTAAAATGAGCTGGAGAAAGAAATGGCAACCTGCTGTAGTATCTTTGCCAAGAAAAACCCAAACAGAGTTAGGAAGAGTTGGACATAACTGAAAAACAACGGAACGATCTGTCCTCATTCTGTTGCTGAGTTTGTGATTTCGGGATGCAGTTAGATTTCATACCAATCAATTCTAGAAGAACCGGGGCCCATGTTTGGCAGAGAACTTGTGTCTGCATAGTTGAAGTCATCTCATAACTTCTGTTAAATTTCTAACTTTGTACCAAGTTTGTCATCTGTGTCCCAAACTGATCCTTTTTCTCTTTGTGGCCAGGTATTCTGGAGCATTCTGGGTATTCTGGAGTGCAGGTCAGAATATTCAGTGTTATAGTGGGGCCTCGTATAGGATAAAAATTGAGTCTTTTGGATTTGTGTGAACCCCTGAGATTTTTTTTTTTGTATTTTTGATACCCTAGATTAAGAATTCACAGAAAAATTTGACAATTTGTTTTTAGGCTGTAAATATACAGTAGATTTTTTTTTCTTCTGGTGAATGTTTCACAAGTCTGTCCCAATGGTATAATTTTACAAACTTTTCACTTGTGGATTGTTTCTTTTTTTTTTCTTCTAGGCAGTGGGGTTAAGTGACTTGCCCAGGGTCACACAACTGGTAAGTGTCAAGTGTCTGAGGCCTGATCTGAACTCAGGTCCTCCTAACTCTGGGACTGGTGCCTTACCCACTGTGCCACCTTGCTGCCCATTGTTGATTGTTAAAATTTTTCGTATTATTGAATAGTGCGTAAATATTGATATACTGATACTGTTCTGTATAACTGAGTCCTATATAAGAGCTAATATTAAGTGAAAGTGAGAAATCTGGAATCATTATGTAGCCCAGGCTTCTCTCATCAGGCCCAATTTTAATATACAACGGCTTTGAAGGGTCTTTAGGCAAGCCCAGTTAGCCTAAAATGGAAACCGGGCATGTCCCCTACCACATGGGTAGTAATGGTGAGACTGAGTTATTCACTCTCATTTCTGCCATCTTTTTGTGACCCAACCTAGATGCCATGAACTGAACAGATGTGCTGGGAAGGACTTGTCTTCCCTTGTTTACCTCTCTTTTACCCAAGCTTGAAGAAATGGGCCTGGGGGTGTTTTTGGGTTTGTTTTTTTTTCTATTCTGTGTTGTTTGTTCTCCTAGCTTTCAGGTGCTAGAGATGATTCTCACTGACCCGGAGTTAGAGCCATGGTGACCTGACACGGAAATCCTGAAAAGCCAGGGTGCCTGGGACACAAGCCAGAGGCAAGATTTGGGTTTGAAACTGGGACTGTTCTCTATGGGCATTGAGCTGAACTATGAATCTAATCCACTTACCTTCCTCAGAGACTGAGGTGGGGGGGTGGGGGAGAGAATTAGGCCTCCCATATGTTGGGAGGAGTCAGTTTGTATATTTGCTATAGCACCAAGTAAATGTTCTTTGTAAAAGTTCCTGTGTTACAACTAGATTGCTACTGTCTAGGTGAAATGTTCATATTGTTCTTTTGCATTAAACAGACCAAGACTGCTTGCCTTGTGTGAAATCAAAGGGCGAGGTGACTATGCCTAAAATCCACAAGCAGTTGATATTCTTTGATACTTCCTTGCTGAGCACGCTTATCTTATTTTCCCTGATGAGTTAGCTTACCAGCAGTAGCAAGTTTCCATGGGATAATTCTGGGCACCCTTTGGGGTATGGAACCAAGCAGAAATTGCCTGGATCACTAGAGAATTTTTGTACGCCCTGTCGTAGAAGGAGACAATTTTTTTTTTTTGTAGATCTCAGCTGTATGGCCTCAGGCACTGCAAGAATCATTGGAAGAGTTTCCACTTTGGACAGTTTTTTTCACTTGAGAAAGGAGGGGGACAACCAATTGACACGAGCTCCGGAAAGAGCTCCATGTGGTTTGGAAAGCTCAGTTTACACTAGTCTTCTTGAGCAGCTTTTGATCTTTCTTTTACTTGAAAGCTTGAGAAAGGCCCTAGAAAGCTTTGGGAAATTTGTAATTGGACAAGGAACTGAATTTGGGATAATGACTATTTTTTTTTAAATCACCTTTATCAGGGAAGGGGACAAGAGAGCAGAGAGACGATAGAGGGGAGGGCAGACTGGGGGAGGGGGTAATCAGAAGCAAACACTTGTGAGGAGGGACAGGGTTAAAAGAGAGAATAGAATTAAGGGGGGGAAGGGCAGGATAGGGAAAGAAAATATAGTTAGTTTTTCACAACATGGCAACTATGGAAGTGTTTTGCATGACTACACTATAACCTGTATTGAGTTGCTTGCCTTTTCAGTGAGGGTGGGTGGGGAGAGAGGAGGGGAGAAAATTTGGAACCCAAAGTTTTAAAAACACATGTTAAAAAATTGTTTTCACACACAACTAGGAAATAAGAAATACAGGAAATGGGATATAGAAATCTATCCTGCCCTATAGGAAAATAGAAGGGGAAGGGGATAAGAGAAGGGGGGAAAGAGATTGGGAGAAGGAGTATACAGAATGCATGCCATCTTGGGGTTGGAGGAGGGATGAGATGGGGAGAAAATTTGGAACTCAAAATCTTGTGGAAGTGAATGTTGAAAACAAAAAATAAATTAAAAAAAGAAGTACAAAAAAAAATCATCCTTATCAATTTTCTGAGGATGCCGAATTTCAGACAAGGGGAAATGTGTAACAGAGCTTGCCTAGCCAAGCCCAGATGACCTAATTTGGAGGCTCCCTGGTCCTTTAATTGGTTACATAGCTGGAATAAGTTTCATCTTTAAAACTGGCCTGGCCAGACCAGGATTATCACTCTCTTTTCCAGCTTTGCTTTCTCTTTTCCTGCTATATCCAGAGAGTGAAGATCACAGTTCACCAGGTGCCATGAACTGAACTGGTGAGAGGGGAAAAACTTCCTTCCCCTGCTCTCCCTTTTACCAGGGCCTCCAAGGTTCCTCTTGTACTGGGGGTATTTGTTTCTTTCCTGCGTAGTTTATACTCTCTGTTTCAAGTACAGGTAGGAGTCCCTATCAACTCTGAGTTCCAGCCATGGTGACCTGGAACCCAGGATCACAGGCTGGGTGGTAAAGCCAGCCAGGTCAACATGGAAGCCCTGAGAAACCAGGGTACCCAGACTTCAAGCCCCAGGTGAATTTTGGACTATGGCCTATAGGAGCCAAGCTAAGTTATGAACTTAATTCTCTTCCCCTTCCTAGAGACTGAAGCGTGGGTGGTTGGGTGAGAATTATGATTTCCATATGCTGGAGGAATATTTATATATTTGTGACAAACCCTTTTGGAGTAAATATTCCTTGGTAAAACCAAATTTAATTGTTAAATAGTTAAATGGAACTGTTAGGAGACCCTTGTTAGGCTGGAGGGAACACCTTTGATAAGGGGCAGAAGCCATTCGCAGAGAGCCCTGACCATGTGAACGGCACCAGAGAGCCCTAAGGGAGGGGAGAGATGTTACCTGCCTAACTTTCCAAGCAGCAGAGGGCCAGAAGAGGGATGTTACATCTCTTTACTGAAAGCAGAGCAGTAATATATTCTTGATTTGTCATAATGGTAATTTCATTCTTCAAAGAGCAAGAAGGGAAGAGAAATACTAGTCTGAACATGATTCTGACCAATAAGGGGAAACTGGTTGCTAAAACATAAGTAATAAGAACCTTGGGAGGAAGTAATCACTCCATTTTAGAGTTTGTGATAGACTAAGAAAGGATTGGTGCAGTTTGGCACACATCCTGAATTTGGAGAGCAAGAGTTTAGAGAAAAGACATTATAAAATTCTATCACAAAGTTTGCCCCAAGTGGAGCATGGGAGTATAGAGGGGAAACTCCTAACCCAGCTCCTTCCTTCCAAAGGTGTTACCAGGGAAATTTGGTAGACCAAGTAGCCACCAATGGCTCCTTCTCATCACTGTGGCTGAGCCCCCACATCTAACCACTATTAGAATGTAAGCTCCTTGAGAGTAGAGATTTTTTCATTCATATCCCTAGTGCCTGGCATACAGAAAGTGCTTAATAAATGCTTAATGATTGATTGACAGCTAGCTAAGTTGCATCCCTAACACTCATACATGCAGTATGGGAGCTCTGAAGCTCCTCATGTAAACCTCTCCACCTTCTTGATGACAGGAAGCCTGACATCTGCCTTGATATACACTAAGGAGTTAACTTTTTGCTCTGCTAACCCAGATTTTCTCAGTTCATTCATTTTCCTTTCTTAGTAGATTTGTAAAAAAAATAATAAATAACTTTAGGCTCCAATTTGGGATTTATTCACTTTGGAAGGTTATAAAAATAACAGCTACCTCCTGTTCAGTTCTAACTCCACTTTCCATCCTTAGCTTGTACTGAGGAAAAAATATCACCTGTCCCTTTAAGGGACATTGGCCTTTCCCTATCCCACTGCATTTTCAATAATCAAACAAGTTCTGGTTGATATCATCATGTTTTATGACAGCTTAAACAGCATAGAAACAAAAGTAAACAGGAAAAGAAAGCTTCCCAATGTTTGGCAGCAAAGGAAAGAACAAGGGAAAAGCAAGGAGGAAAGGGCAACCAGGTAAACAAAAGCAGCATCCCTCTCCAGTTTGGAGAAGGGTTGGAGATGGGGCTGAAGAGGATACCCAGGAGCACTCGCTGACAGCCTTCCTTCCCTAATCTTGATCTGATCAGCTCTACTATGGA